AGGAAAACCTAATTTTATGTTATATTGGGATGTTATTAAAAATGGCACATCTACACCAGACCTTCGTCATTTAAAAAATATTAAAAGAGGTGCATTATTTGAAAATACAGCAATTAAAATTTTCGAATTTATTTCAAAAGCAAAAATTGAAAAATGTGGATACTTTGATAGTTTAATTGACAATAAATATGGTTGTAGTCCTGATGGATTAGGTCCATCAGGCATTTTATTAGAAGTGAAAACTCAAGCAGCAGGTTGTGTTGTGCCAATAACAACATTAGCAAATTTCTCTCAATATTATGTTCAGTGTCAGCCACAGATTGATTGTACAGATGCAGAGTTTTGTGTTTTACAATCTTTCCATCCTGAAATCAATACATCAAAATGTTTTTTAGTTCAACGAAATAACACCTTATTATTAATTATTAAAGAAATAGTAGATGCAATATATGAAAGGAAGAAAATAAAAACATGAAATCATCTTGAAAACAAAGATCTACTCCGTTTTGGAAAAAATATAATTGGTCATGTACCTGATTTTGTTATTTTAAAACCATTTAGAAAATTTAAAAAACTTTAAAAAGTTATCAAAGTTTGTGCTTGTCAAAAATTTTAGACATAAAAACAATTTTAACATTTTAACAATTTAGTTTTCTCACTTGTATTTTTTATAAATGAATAATATATACATGAAAAATCAAATATTTATTGTTTAGGATCTATTGGTTCCATCGTTAAATTAACAATATGGCCTAACATTTGCTACGTAGATGATAAAATATCAATTTGATTTATTGGCCAAACAGTGTTCTTCCTATAAAACGCTCAACATGAATGCGTGTTGCAGCATTCATGAATATCAAAATTTTTAGCAATATCTTGTTCAGAAAATTGACTGCTATCTTTTTGCTTTGGTCTATTTAACAAGATGCCTTTCTTTGCACAAAAGTCTTGAATTGAAAATCCACGATCACTCATTATTTCGTGTTCTTCTTCAACATATAAGATGGCATTTGACTTTTCAGTAATTTCTGAGTCTGAGATTGATGCTGGGTAAATTTCACTGAATAAAATTCCTCCACCATGAGGAGAAATGCCAATCAAAGCTTTGCCAGTTTGTGTATTTTTATAATTGGAAAACATCAGAGAATTTAATTCAAAATTTGATGCACTTTGAAATTTAAACTCTGTTGCATCTACTACAAGGTCTGTCAGACCATGTCCTGTTTCAATGAAACTTTTGGACATTTTTTTAAACAAAAATCCAGATGCAGGTTTCAAATCTATCTCATTAAATATAGTGGCTAAAAATATTACCCATCCAATAAAAAGTCTTTGCATTGTTGGCTTAGACTTATCTATTATAAAGGCCATTACCCCTTGTTGTAGCCCATGCCTACATATGGTTAGAACAAATAATAATTCTGTTGCTTTATCAGTAATTCTACGGCTCGGTGCATTAACTTCACTTTCAGAATATGGTATTAAATGAGTATAAGGAGTAACACATTCTAAAATAATTTTAAATTGTTCTATTGATAAACCACAAGTATTGAACCATTTTGGGCTGTTCTTTTAAAAACTTGTATTCAAATTGTTTTTGAGAGGATTGTTGAATTTTATTTTTTAGACTGTTTATATTTTTTTGGTAAGTAAGCTAGCAGATTTCAGCTTCGACAGTTCAATATTTTTTATATCAAGTGCTTTTTTTAGTTGTTTAATTTTTTCCTTTGCTTCTTTAAGTTCAACTTTTATGTCATTCATTTGAGCTTCAGGAGAGTAAAGCTTTTTATTCAGAACTAATTTAGATAAAGCTTTTTTTTTTGTAAATAATCGGTGTCTAGTATCTCTTTTTGGAGAGCTACGCAACAACTTTTCAGAAACGCTGTTTTTTATCTGTGTGGCTAGTTCAAATTTTCTCTTTACTGACTTGTATCTTTTTTTTAACATATCACTTGGATTTTTGTATGAATCAAGTTTTATTTTAGCTAGTAAGTTTTTTTTGCATATTTTTTCATATTGGTCATCTGGTATAATAATGTCTGGTAAACCGTTAGGATTTTCTCTTTCTTTCTTGCTCCAATGAGCTCCACATATGTGTCCTTTTTCCCAGTTTATACCAGTTGTTTTAAACAATTTCATATAGATTTTTTGCACACTTTCTAATCTCGGTAAACGATAGTATTTAATAAAAAGACCATTTGAATCTTTTGATTTAAAGTTATTAAAGCATAAAGCAGGTGCGCAATACCATTTAACCATTTTAAAATTTACGAAAGTGATATAAATTAAGAAGAAGTGTTAAGTGTTTAATGTTTTATAGTCCTAAAAAGCTACCATTTTTTATTTTTTTCCCTACATCGTAAACTAAAGTGTGCGGACCGCGTCTAATGAATTTGGCTAATGATGAAAGATTATACCTTAAAGTTAAAGTATCATTAGGTGGTATCAACTCATTATCAGGAACAATACAACGAGATGCCTGCGGTCTGGGCATTGTTCAATTTAAAAAGCGTTATAAAAACGAAATATAAGAATATAGACAGTATTTCTTAATAAACTATTGTTAAATTTTTAGTTTTAGTTCTTTTTAATAAAAAAATTCTTTTTAAAAATGAAGAAGTCTTAATTATGCAAATTCTTTTGTTTAAATTTATTTATAAAAAAAAAAAAAGAATTTTTTAATTCTTTTTAATTACGCAATACGTAAGTTGCGTTTTGTACTTGATTAGTTTACGTAAATAAAATACGACTTAACCAAACTTTGTAATCTGTAATCAAAATGGATTACTTTCTCAAAAGTTGACTGGATTAGTTTTTAAAAATTGTTGCAGCTATTTGCAATAACGTTTTTCTGCAAGGAACTTATGATATCTTTTTAGGATTTTATTTTGTGTTGTAACACTTTAGCTGGATTTAAACACAAATTGTAGGTACGTGCGTATCCAATGAGTTATAGCACCGATTATGTAATCAAAATTTTTGACCATTTTATCAAAGCGTGCTTTGTATTTGAGTTGTAAAGACGTGTTTTGTTATGTTATTTTTTAGAAATTTAAAAATTAGAGTTAAACTTCATGTTACTACTAAGATTATTCTTTGAGAAATTTTAACTTCGTTCTTCCTCTAGTCTGTCATATATCCTTGATACTAAATTCAATACTAAAGTGCTTTTTAAAACTATATATATTTTTACGATATTTGTGCTTTTCACGTTACTTGTTAGCTTGTTAAATCAAGAAACCTTTAAATTATTTATCTATTTAGCAATGTATATTTAACGACCGGTTTTTTTAAGGAAAAAAAACGGTTTTCGGTTACGAGAGAACTGAACAAAAAACCCTTTACCCGGTTGCGGTTTCCACCGGTTGACAAAGCCTAATTCATACTAAAATATGAACTTGGACCTGCTCCTCCTCACTTTTTCCAAAATAACAAAAATAGATATGACACAAGATAACAGGAAACTTTTTTTTTTTCTTACAATTTTTGCCAATAAAAAAAAATATACAGTCGTAACTTAAAAAAAATATTTACATGACATAATCTTATTATTGAGCCCCAAAATCTTAACATTAAGCCCCAAGTCTTATCATTGAGCCCTAAAGTCTTATCATTAATAATCATTTTATAAAATTAGCATCCTATTTAAGATCAGATATTTTTTAGATGAAAAATGTTTTATGCAACTCTAATACTCCTATATACATAAAATATATTAACTATGCCAATATTGCTTGGAGAAGCACAAGCAAAAGTAAATTGCAACTTCTTTGTCGTCGTATTTTAAGTTGGCACAACGTTGTATTTACGTTAGTTCAACGTTAAAATTTACTTGGCAAAACGTTGTATACAATTTTATTCGGAATTAAATTTTCATTAAATTCAACTTTTTTATATATAAATAATATATATATATATATATATATATATATATATATATATATATATATATATATATATATATATATATATATATATATATATATATATATATTTATATATATATATATATATATATATATATATATATATATATATATATATATATATATATATATATATATATATATATATATATATATATATATAGCTTTTTGCGATGTTTTTACATATATTGGAAAAACGTTGATTTATATACATTGAATCAATGTCGAGATATATGCATTGGATCAACGTTGGGTTAAGATTGTAAAAACAATCAAATTTTTGCGATGTTTTTACATACATTGAACTAATGTAAATTCAATATCATTAATCAAATGACATTGGATCAACGTTGGTTTTGCATTGGAAAAAAATGGTTTTGCATACGTTGACCTAATGTAAGTGTGCTAGCTGAACTTCTGCCAAACGAAGTTGTCAGTGCTATCAGCATCTAATATACTAATTTTTAATCTTTTAAAGTTCCTTCAAATATTTCTCCAAATATTTCTAATAAATATTTGTTGTGGACTTGTTTAAGAACTTTATTTTGTGTTTTATAATTTATTTTATATTAATAATTTTATAGTTTGAAAATTTTTTTGTTCACAAATTAAATTTTAACTCTTGCTTTATGAAATAAGGTTGAATTAACAATGAAAAAAAAGTATAAAAATAAAATTTATAAAAATTCAATAGACCTTTCATTGAAATATTGTATAAACATATTTTTTGATATATTTAACAAAAATTATATAGAGAGATAAGGAGACTTAGCTCTAGTCATTTTTGCTTCTATAAAAATTATATTAAAACTCTTACAGATAATTGCTATAAAAAAATATAAAAAATTATGATATAAAATTGGGTAAAAACAATAACAACCAACTTTTTTTTTTTTATAATATATACTTTAATGTAATGATGAAGTTGTAAAGTATTGTCTATTGTTTTATACTAACAAATGTTTATTGCATTTATCTGCATTCTATCATTTTGTATCACCATGATTGTGAAAGATTATTGTAAGTAATTGTAAAAAAAAAGTTTTAAACAATATAAAAAAATATACTTACGGTGCTAAATGCCCAACATGATCTACATAAACCTTGATTTTTGACTGGGGTAACGTAACCTTCAGTTCTCCAATCTACCTTATCAGGTATATTGACTTTATTAGGTAATGAAAATTCTTTCGTGAAATTTACAATACTCTTTGAAAGTTTCAAACATCCTCCATGAATCTCCATAAATTCTTCATGAGTCTAAATATAAATAAAAAGTTATTATTATTTACTTAAGATACCCCAGAAAGAGTTCAACTCACGTATTGCTTGTCAACTTGGTATTATTCACGTATTGCTTGTCAACTTGGTATTATTCACGTATTGCTTGTCAACTTGGTATTATTCACGTATTGCTTGTCAACTTGGTATTATTCGGCACTCTTTCATTTAATTGAAAATCAGGTTTTGCATTTTCAAAAAATCGCAGACCTGAAAAGTTTTATGGCGTTCTTCCATGATGTCTATTGTTTTGGTGCTCTTAACTATTAGATAAATTTTTATTTAAGTTTTGAATATCAAATTAAAAATTTTTGTAATGATATAAATATAAGGGCTTGTGGTTTGATTATTTAAGTCTAATGTTCAAAAAGCATAACCTGATTAAATTAAAAAAAAAAATTAAAGACTATTGGGTAATTCCATGTAAAAGTGGGACAAAAAATTGAAATTTTTTAGTCACCCTCTCAGATTTCCTTCAAATTTTAACCAGCGGTACCTATCAATGTAACCTGAAAAAATGTAAAGTTTGAGCTCCCAAATCCAAACAGTTCAAAAGATATGACATTTTAAAATTAAGCCTAAAACGCCATATTTTTTTCTACATCCACCATTATAGACTTTGTAGTAGTACTTTTTAATGAATAATTATGGACCTAGTGGGAGAATGTGGCTAAAAATTGGTACCTGACCATTTTTGAATGTGCTGAATTCAAAAATTTTTTGATGTTTATTTTTTGATTTTTAAACGGTCAGTCAAACTTTTTGTTCTGCTAATATCGGTTGCGCTTTCATTATTTCTCAGAGTTGCCCAAGTCTTATGGATTTAATATTGTTTCCCAATGAAATAGGTGATCCTAGGCTATCTTTATAGAAAAGATGGTTTTATTTTCTTGAATATTATATTAGATTTGTCATTTTTAAGTTTTTATAAAAAATTCCTTATTTGGACTCAAATTCTCTATCGAAGATTTTTTAGCAATAATTTATGTGTAAATAATTAAAGTTTTTGTGGATGAAACTGACTAAAAATTGGTACCTGGCCATTTTTGAAGATGCTGCATCCAAAGTAGAAAAGAAAATGACCTAATTCAAATTGTTTGATAACTGTTTTTTATTTCAAAATGGTCAAAAATTACTTTATCATAAAGTGAGGTAACGTTTTCTCTAATTCCTGGAGTTTCCTGACTCTTATGGATTCAGTTGTAATGTGTAAAAACAGTTTTTTGAGGTTTGTTTTGACACAAATTAAGTTTTATGAAGTGATTTTTTATGTAAAAATACAGCTTTGTGACATCTGCAGTGATATATAAATATAGTTTTTCAACGCAAGTCATGTTGTATAAATATAGCTTTGAAACACTAAAAATTGCTTTGAAATATAGCTTTGAAACATAAAAATTTCATTTTAGATTAAGTTATTATTGAGAATTTTAATTTTAGATTAAATTATTATTTAGTCTTATTTGGTAATTGCTTAGTAATGGCAAACAGTCAACAGTGCTTTGTTGGAATCAAGCTAGAAAGTGAATGTCACCTTGCAATATTTACATCGCTGCTTGGAATCGAATCTTTTGAAGATATCCCTAAATATGAAAGACAAATATTAATATGGAGGACTGGGCTATTAACTTGTCTCCATCATAAACATGTTTATTTGAAGCATTATGCAACTAAATTAACACGATGTTGCAATCTATTATTACTCATAAGAAAATTATGAAACGTATTTATAAAAGGTAGTTCACTTTTTGTGAAAGTGTTGTGATTTACAAAAATAAAATTCTCGGCCAAATTCTATTTTAGCTATATTTTATAGACAAGTTGAAAAAACAGTTATTAAGAAACTTGTAACTGCTCTAGATGTCACTGAAGTGATATCTAGAGCAGTTGTGTCTAGTTGCACCAAAAAATAAAGATGTTCTAAATGAAATTCAAACCAAAGCTGGCAATCTAGACTTTCTTATTGAATGCATGAAAGAAAAACTTGAAGTTTCTAACAGAAGATAGCAACGTCAAATTTTTACATATATCCCAAAATCTTGGTCTATAAGAAAAGCAGCAAAGGAGTTTTCAGTTTCCAAACACAAAATTCAAAATGAAATGTTTTTACGTGACCAAAAAGGCATCACAACATACTCTGATATGGTTGAACGGTATCGAATCAGAAAAGATGTTATAGAACTTGTGAGGCTTTTTTATATTGACGATGAGCATTCAAGAAAAATGCCAAGAAAAAAGACTGTAAGTGTTGGGGAAAAAAACACATTTCAAAAATATTGCTTTTGTGTAACTTAAAAGAGCTTTATGTGGTATTTAGGATAAAGTACCCAGACCATAAATTTGGATTTTTTAAATTTTGTAGTCTTCAGCCTAATTGGTACATTCTTGCTGGTACAAAATGTACATATTCTATTTGTGTGTGTACAATACACCAAAATGTTAAACTAATGTTGAGTGCTATAGGCCTTGAAACGTCTTACAATGAAATCATTGAAAAGATTATTTGCAGCAGAAAATAGAAAGAGTGCATGCTCTACTGATGCAATAGTTGTCCTGGCATACAAGCTGCCTATAATTATTTCCAGCAGTATCTCATACAAAATGATAATCCAAAAGAGCAATATGACAGTGATAAAAATGAACAGTTAGTGGAATTTCAAACAGTGGACAGATAAAACTAAATTATTAACAATAAAACTTCCATTAAATGAATTCATTGAGCTCCTGTGTGAAAAACTTAATAAAATTACTTCTCATTCATTTATAGCAAAATCAAAGTCTAGCTGTCTGAAGCATCTCAAAGAAACAGTTCGTATTGATGAGGCTATTGTGCTAGCAGACTTTGCAGAGAATTACACTTTTGTAGTACAAACAAGATACAGAGTTACCATTGGGGCAAGAGTCAATGTTTTCTTTGTTCAGTTGTCATCTACTACAAGAAAGTGAAATTGCAAATATCTTCTTTTTGTGTAATTTCATATGATTTGAATCATGATGTTGGATTTATCAGTGAAGTTATGCGCAAACCTATTAATCATATTAAAACTCATCTTTGTCCCTTTATTACAAAAAATAATTATTTTTTGGATGGCTGTGCAGGGCAGTAAAAAAACTGCAAACATGTTTACAACTTATGTCACCATGCTTAAGATATTTCTGTTCGTTACATTTGGTATTTCCTTGTAACAAGCCATCGCAAATCTCTATGTATTAGAATAGGTGGCACTGTTAAAAGGCTTGTTACAACTGCTAACTTGCAGAGTCTAACCACAGTTTAAATACTGTCTTCTTAAGCAATGCTTGAATACCGCCAAAGTCAATCAGTGGGATTATTTTTGCATACATCACTGCTGAAGAAATGGAGCTAGTAAGAAACAAACTTATCAATAGACTTTAATTAGCAACCACTATTCTTGGGACAAGAAGTTTTCATCAATTTATACCTTCTTCTTGTTCAATTATAAAAATGAAAAGGGTATCAGATGATAATGATTTTTCCTAACATTTGACTTTCTCAACAAACAAAAATATGAAACTATTAAAACTGACTATGTAATGATGTCACAATACCTATTTTGCAAATACGACAAATTTTACTGGTTTGGTATGGTTGCTGAAGTTGATAAAGAGAATGATGATTTTATGGTAAAGTTTATGCATCCTAATTATTCAAGTCAGTTGTACTACTGGCCAAAGTTGAATAATAATTACTGGGTGCCAAGAATGAATGCTATTTATCTTGTTAAAATACTGTCAACATCTTCTGGGCGTCAGTACCACATCTCAAAAGAAGATGAAACTCTATTTCAACAGCTTATATCATGTCATTGAAATTTATTAATATTTTACTTTTATTATTTAAATGATATCAACTTCAATTTTAGTAATATGTGATTATTCCTTTTTATTTCTATTGTTGAGGTTTTTTTTAACAAAGCAGGTTTTTTACTCCTTTTTAAAAAAATTGGCATTTTAGTTTTTCATTTTTTAACAAAACAATTGAGCATGCAACTTAAAATTTGAAGCAACCAATATTTTGAAACAATACTTAACTATTAGACATTAATTAATTAAGTAAAGTTAAATCATTATAACTCATAAACAATGAAATTATAAAATTATAAATTATAATAAATAAATTATAAAATTATACTTTCAATGTGAATGTATTACAAATTATATTTCCATGTATACTTTTAAAAATATTAATTATAAAAATGCAAGTTACGCAAAGCAATATAATTTTTTTATTTTCTTTCAGAGAACTAAACTTTTCTAAGACCTCTTATTTCACATTTAGAGTAAAGCAACTCCAGAAATAAGTGAAATTTAAACCATGGTTACGAAACAAAAAATTTGACTGTTGATATTTAAAAATTATTCTCAAATATTAGGATTTGAGTTATTTTCTCTTCATCTTTGTATTCAACACCTTTAAAAATGGTCAGGTACCAATTTTCAGTCATATCCTTTCTCTAGAACTTATTCACACAAAATATTATAAACACAAATAATATCACTATAAATTCTATAATGTAGGGCAAAAAAAAGATTTTTTTGTCTAACTTTCAAAATGACATATCCTTATTTTGCTTTAAGAAACCAAAATTTTTTTTATAAAAATAGCCTAAGATCTAATACTTCATTTTAAAAATAAATTGAATCCATAAGAGTTGGGCAACTCCGGGAGTTAATGAAAGCGCAACCCATGATAACAGAACAAAAAATTGGACTGACCATTTTAAAATCAAAAAATATTCATCGAAAAATTTTAATTTCATTATTTTCTCAGCATTTTTAAATGCAGTAACCTCAAAAATTTTTAGCTACATTTTTTCACTAGATCTTAAATTATTAATTAAAAAGTAATACTACAAAATCTATAATGGCGGATTTGGTAAAAAAAGGAACATTTTAGGCTGAATTTAAAAATGTCATAACTTTTGAACCGTTTGGATTTAAGAGTTTAGGAATTTTTG